TTGAACCTATCAACTGTTCTGCAGGAGAATGAAGAGGCAATATGCCCTGGTTAAGACTTACAGCCTTGGAAACCATATGGAGGTGTTCTACTCCGCCCCCAGGGACACTACGAGTTGAAATTAACTAGATGGCAATGGGTTTTTTTCCTTGGTGGCTTCTATTAAAGTAATTATTAATGCAGTGTAGGCCACTGAGAAAGGAACACACAACTCATGTTGACATACCAGGACCATTTATTCAAGCAAATGGATTTTCTGGCATCTAAGACCCTGAGTCAATTCCAAGGAAATAGCTAAAGTAATAAAAATACAACAGTTCTGCAATGCCAAAATTTCTCAACTAGGGAAGTCATAGGGCAAATTCAAAAGAGCAATAAGAAGTAATGGTGTAGCATCCAAAACAGTTGTGCTTGATGGTTGTTGTTGTTGTTAAGTGCCACAGAGTTTGTTCCAACTCACAGCGACCCACAACAGCGTTTCCGAGGAGCGGCTGGTGAGCTTGAACCACTTACCTTGCAGTTCAAATCAACTTTGCAGACCAGCGCATTAACCTACAGAGCTTAGAAAAATTGCCTCCAAGCAGAAAAGATCCAAGCCCTGACCACAATTTCACCTAACCTATATGGGTATTTGTTTGTGGGGGTGAATGGGTTGGAGGGAAAGATAACAGAGGTGGAATGAAGGAGAATAAGGCTCAGAGCTTTTGAATGCAAGGATTTTTAAATAAGTATTCTAGGAAATTTTTAATTTTTCACACCTTACATCTTTGAAAATTATAATAAAGTATTTAACAAGGCGTCCTGGTGTGGCGCTGTGGGTTAATGCGCCAGACTGCAAAGCCATTTGAACTGCAAGGTTGGCAGTTGAAGCTCACCAGCTGCTCCTCTGAAACCCTGTACGTGGTTGCTATGGGTTGGAACCAACTCAACGGCACTTCACAATAACAACATGTGTACAGTACAGTCTTACCAAAAAAGAGTGGTTTTAAACACCAGCATGAGAATTGTAATCAATGAGATGAAACAAAATGTATATGAATTGCTAAATATAAAACTGGTGATCTTCATTGAAAACCTTCCCCCAATTCACTGTAAAATATTTGAAAAAAGAAAAGATAATAAATGATGGAACCATAATCATACAAAATGGGGTGGAGGGCAATTTTCATTGTTAAATAAATGTATCCATTTAGAATTGTTGTTAGGAGCTATACCATCGGCCCTGTGTACAACAGAATGAAAAGCTGCCGGATCCTGCCCAGCCTCACAATCGTTGCTATGTTTAAGCCCATTGTTGCTGTAACTGTGTCAAGCGATCTCCTTGGGTTTCTCCTCTTTTTGGAAGGCCCTCTACTTTGTCAAACATGATGGTTTCCAGGAACTGGTCCTATAATGTAGGATTATTATTATAAAATTAAATCCTAAAAACTGAAAGATCTAAGCCACTCAAAAGCTGACCATTATCATTTCCATTAGGCCAATGATTGTTCTTGTTGTTGTTGTTAGGTGCCATCAAGTCGGTACCAACCCACAGCGACCGTATGCACAGCAGAATGAAACACTGCCCGATCCTGGGCCAACCTCACTACTATTGCCACACTTGAGTCCATCGATCCTGCCACTTGGCCAATCCATCTAGTTGGGGTCTTATTAAGACCATAATTTTTCTCCTATAGGGTCAATTAACAGCTCCTAATAAGTATGTGAAACTTCAGTGATTAAAAAAACAACAAGATAGACATTATTTTTTATCATTTTACTTAAATGTCATTTTCATACTTGAATTTCTCAATCCAGAAGACTAAAATGAACATATCTCCCTTAAGAGAATACTACATAATAAACTATTTAATATTCTGTTTGATTAAACATATGCATATATTATTTGATGGGAAACAAAATAATGAAGAGAAAGAAGATTTGATGTAAACAGAAGTGACACTGGTTACACCAGTTACCTAGAAACCATTTTACATTTTTAGTGGATTTAGCAGTTGTGTTATATACGGAATAATTTGCACTGAGCTGCTTACATACAAGGCTTTAAACATTCAAAAAAGAACTGAAGGTCACACTTTACTGCTAAGAATCAAATTAGGGGAAAAAACATTTTCAAACATTCCAAGAATTAAGATTTGTGAAATAAGTGAACCAGCTTTCTGCCATGTGGTTACTCTGGGCAAAAGGGCAGTGTAGGATGGGGATGCAAGATGAAGAGGAAGGTTGGGCACAACAACAGAGAAAAAAGGCCAAAGCTCAAAAAGACAGTTAAAAGAATTAATTTACTAAAAATAGTTTTCATTTTAAAAGCTTTCTTAAAATTATTGGTACAGAGAAATTAAAAATTTATAATTCACCCTGAAATCATCACTTTACTATACAGTTTTCATGGTTTGCACTATAGAATCCTGCAGAGATGGAACTTTTGGTTTTACATCACACACTCAACTATATTTTTTAATCTAGACCAGCTGTTTGCAAGCAGACTGATTTTGTCCCAAGGTAACGTTTGGCAATATCTGGAGATATTTTCAGTGGTTACAGCTTGAAGGAGCCCTGGTGGCATAAGAGGTAAAGCACAAAGATGTAGCAGTCTGTAAACACTGTTGTTAAGTGCCATCTTAGTCGGTTTTCACTCATGGCAACCATGTATAGGATTTTGGAAGAGCAGCTGGTAAGTTTGAACCATCGACCTTGCAGTTGAATGCTTATCCTACAGGGCCACACCAGTACTACAGCCTGGTGGATTAAATCTTCTGGGGGCATTTCTATTCCATTCTGTAGGCCACTATGAATGGGAACCAACTCCATGGCATTAAGTTTAGCTGTGGCGGGGCACAATTTGGAGTGGAAAAATATTGGAGTCTAACTGGTAGAGGCCAAAGATACTGCTAAACAGCCTACCATGAAAGGGATAGCACCACAATACAGAATTATTTGTCCCACAGTATCAATAATGAGAAGGTTGTGAAACAGTGATCAACTCTGATTATAAGCAAAAATAAACTACTCATAGTGCTATAGGATAAACACTAGACTGTTAACTGAAAAGGTTAGCGGTTAAACCTACCAGCCACTCCTCAGTTACAGGATCACTATGAGTAAGAACCAACTAACAGCACTTAACCACACCTTAATCCATCCCTTTCTAATAAACATCTCATTAAAGCATAAAGCAACAGAGGAATCATTTCACAAGTGTCTTAACCATGATGGATGACTGTCTCAAACTACATTATTCTGAAATACGTAAAAATTATATGCAATATGTAAAGGCAGAAACCAGATAAAGGAACTTTTTATTTTTACTCTCATACATATTCAATTCACAAAACAAACAGTCTCCATGGTTTCTTAGCAAGTTGTGTCTTTTTATGCTCAGTATACTAAAAATACACTGACCTGGTCAAAAATATAGGGTTTCTTATTAATAGGCTACCTCAGGTAAACAGTACTAACTCAGGCAGATTTATATTGGGGGAGGGGACCAAGGGAGGGAAAGTCACCCAGATCTTTAAAATGCTAAGTTATTTCACAGTTTACTTTAAAAATGACTCAGATCATTATTAGTTTTAATCATGTAAAGCAGGCTGCTTCCAAGCTTACTAGTGACTGGGGGGGAGGGGGGGTAGACACCATTTTTTTCTACAGTGATCACACCAGTGATGCAGAAGCTTACTGAAAACAGGTTTGTGCAGTATTTTTTTATTATTATTATATGTTGTTGTTGTTAGTGCTGTGGAGTCGGTTCCGATTCACAGAGATCCCTGTGTACAGGATTTCCGAAGAGCAGCTAGGTTGGTTTGAACTGCCGATCTTACTGTTTGCCGTCCAATGTAGATCCTACAGCGCCACACAAGAAGTCATATATGTATATAAGCATACATGCATTTATGTATGTGTGTGTATATATATATATATATATATATATATATGTAATTACTGGAAGTACAATTGAAGATTCTACAAAAATATCAGCGGGGGTTGGAGAAGCAGGAACAGGAGGGGGGCAAGGAAACAAAAGAAAACCCTAAGTCATGGAACGAAAAACCTAAAATTGTGACTATTTTCCTAATATAATCCGTAGTCAAAACGCTGGTCTACTCATTTTCTCTCCCTCCAACAATGGGAAAAAACAAACCTTAACGCAGTGCTTCACCATGAAAACAGAAGTAAAGGCAAATAAAAGCTGGTTTGTACCTGGCAAACCTCATTCATCAGGAACCATAGCAGCGGGAGGGAAAATTCTGTTGTCAGTGTGACCCTTTCGCACCTTTCACATCGGTTTTCACTACTCTTGTCTGATTTACTACTGAAGCAAATACAACCTAACTTTGGTGGTTTCCTCCACAACAACAAAAATCAAGCACCAGCGCAGACTATTTCCTTACGCAAGGTAAATATCAGTGGTTCTTTAACACTTATTGAATCGCCAGGGGAAGTTGACAGGAAAGACACATTTCAACCTCACAGAGGCCCCACAAAAGGTGCACTGATTTCATGGAACGTGCTACTCTAGACAAGAGAAACCACAACCACGATACTACACCTAGTATGAAACGTCTTTCCGGGCGAGGGGGCTAGAGGCTTTTATCTTCTAGTCGAGAAGGCTCATCTTTACAAGGTTGGGCTAACTTCAAAGGGTTTCCGCGCGATCCGCCGCCTTAAAATCGCTCCTCCGCTCCTCGAGGGAACCACGAAAGCTTCCGAGCGGAGTGAGGCTCTGCCCCACGCCAGCGAGTTCCAATCCCGCACGGCAGCAGGAGGCAGAGAACAACTGCGCGCCGCACCGCAGGCTCTCTCTCCGAAACCATCCACCAGCGCTCAAAGACGCGCCCTCGGCCGATTTGACACGTTCCCTTCCGGCTTGAAAACACCAAAGTCCCGGCAGCGGCCACCTGGACGCATCTCGCCCAGACCCCCGGCCCGTTCCCCCTCGGCCCCTGGGACCCCTGAGGTGTCCCCGATCGTACAGCCGGCATCCGGCCCGAGAGCCCTTACCCAAGAGCAGCAGCTTGACCTCGCGCGCTGCCTTCTCGCCATCCTCCCGGAGGTTTCGGTCGATCATCTTACTCCTCTCCACCGCCGCCTTGTCCTCGGCGCTCAGCGTACAGCCCATTGTGCCGAGAGAGAGGTTACAGCCGCTCCCTCCACGTATGTTGTGCTGTCTCCAAACACAAATAAATTGCCTGTTTCTGGATACTATCGTTCAAAGCTCTCCCACTTGGGTCACACGACTCCCACCCACTTCGTCAGTGGAGTCTACGGAAAAGATGTCTGCAAAGAAGCAATGAGCCTCGGACAGCTCTCTAAGGCCGGGCTCTGCTCCTGGCGCCCCTCAGAGCCCTGAAGCCCGGATTTGGTGCTTCCAGATGCAGCAGCAGCTGCCGCCCTCCAGCCTCTGGCAGAGATGCAGCCTCCCAAACCTTGGCCGAGCTCGGCGTCCGCGCGCCGCCGCGGCCCCGCCCCTGCCCGCCCCTCCCTCCGGCCCAGGACCACTCCCGGAGCGCGCTCCCGCTCACGTGTCCAGACAGCGCCCCCTCAGAGGGGCGCGCACCTCGCGTTCCCGACGCCCCTTACCGCTACACGATGAGGTCCTGCGCCCGCCCCAAGAAAGCGCCCAGGATCGGGAAACTGTCCTGCTAGGCCGGGCCTTCAGGGCCCTAGCGCTCCCCTACCCCCTACCTCTGCGGGAGTGCGATCATTCCTTTCTCTTTACTCACACTGAGGGATCTGTGCAGACCTGCCTGGTCGGTATGAGGATGGGAGAGCTGCCCAAGTTGAAAGCCTAAAAAAGCCAGTCCTGGGTTTTTGAGCATGCCCAGCTCAGGTAGTCACGCAGGGGTGTTCAAAATGTAGAAACCTTGTTGACTGGTGTTCTGGACTGTGGGAAACAGAAGGAGCTGGGGAGGTAACGGAGTAAAACCAGAGATGGGCACATGGGGAGCAGGAAAAGTCAGTTCAAAAATAAGGATCAAGAACTTACTTCTTGGACACTTCCAAAAGCAGAGCCTTTGCATTGCATAAAACCATAGGTGGAATCCTGAACCCCAACCAGAATCTTCTAAGGTGGGAAATTTCCACTTGAAAGGACAAGCAGACCAGCCTGGAGCAGCTAGAAGAGCAGAGGATATTTCTTGAAAGAAAGACCAGCAGGAAAAATCAAAAACAATAATGGCAGTCTGATAGACTGCTACAAGAATAAGCAAGCTGTTCTGTTCCCTGGAAGCCATTAAGGCAAGTCTTCAGGTCACCTCAGGGTAAACCCCCTTCCAAGACTAAGACTCAAGAGGACTACATGAGCAGGTTTGTGGTCTGGCTGGTGACCACACTGGTCACTGATAAGGGGAACTGGAGGAAAAACAACGAATGAAATTGTGAGCTAAGTCCAACCACGTTCAATAGACTCCTGTGAACCTGGATTGAGACCTGGTTGGCCAGCAGTATGGCAAGACCTGGGGACTCCTGGGCCCAGAGACAGTGACATGGCCACAGAGGGCTAGAGCAGAGAGTGAAGCATCCAGCTGATATGAAGTGAGGGGAGATGCACAAGAACGCCCATACTTGCATATGGTACCCACTTGACCTGGCTTCAATGATGATCAGAACTCAACTAGAAGAAGAAAGAAAGGGGGAGGGGGGGAGCAATCTGCTACAATTTGATGAACTTGACCTGTACTTATGGATGTAGTACCTCAAAAGAGGGAACAAATCTTTACAGTGAGGATCATTCCATCCCCCTC